TACTTTGAGGATAAAAGGGAGGGGGCAGGGCATGGTGGGATGGTGGGGGGAGAGAGAGGTGGAGAGGGATGGAGAGGAGGAGAAATGAGGGAGGGGGGTTGATGGAGGGAGGGGGAGTGGTGGGGAGGAATGGAGGGGAGGGAGGGAAGGGAGGGAAGGGAGTGGGATGATGTAGAGGGAGCCATGGTGGATACTCACAAGGTGCCTTAACAGAGTGAATGATGTCATCTGGTTGCCATGTCTCATGGGCACTTGTTGCTGTATGTGGGTGTTCTGCTTTCCTGCATAGGTGGTTGGTGGGTCGTCATTTTCCTACACAGGTGCTTGTCTCCATGAGTAGGCACTTGTATTCCTATGTGGGCAGTCATTCCTCATTGCCATTTGTGAGGCGTGGCGTGTCTTCATTATCCTGCATCATCACATTGTGTCTGTGTTGTCTTTGTTTTTGTTGTGTCCGCATTGTTATTGTTTTCGCTGTCTGTGTTGTCTTTGTTGCATATTGTCATTTTCGAGAATGATGACATTGGTTGTCATTCTTTGTTTTGTGCCTGGCATCAGCAAGCTGGGTTGGGAGGAGCTTGGGATGGGGGGTGCTTACCTGTACCGCTGTGCATCATTTGGGTGCCACATCATTGCAATGTGGCACCTGGTTTCCATCTGGTGTGTTTCGAGATGGTGGTGGTGGTTTCCGTGGGGTGTGACAGCTGTTTCTGTGTGTGGGTGTCCTTTCATGTTTGTTGTTTGTTGTGGTTGGTGTTGGGCATCATGTTGTGGTTGTTGTGGGCAGTGTTGTTGGGTTGTGGTTGAAGAAAAGAAGTGATCTCACACACTGTGACAATATTGTGATGTTTAAACTCACACATGAGATGACCTGTATAAAGTCACATGATTTTATCGCAGTTGCATCAAAAACACCCCAGTCCTGGTCCTGTCCTGGTTGAGGTGAAATCCCAGTCCTGCAGAGCTCAGCTGTGACCCACCTGCCAACTCAATATGGGTGCCCTGTCATTACAAACTACTTGAACTTGGCCAAGCTTGNGCAGAGCTTGGCAGGAATCATAGGGGAACAATAAAGACCTCCCATTGATGCACCCATTGGCAACGGCTTTGTGTTTTGTGGCAT